CAGTGCCTTGGGCAAATGCCAAATATATCAGGAAGAAGTCAGAAAGCTGAGACAGGGGGACTGCTGAGAGTTCAAGGCCAGCTTGAGCTACATAAAAATTTCAGATCTGGATTGGACAACATGGTGAGACCTCTTATCAAAAATATAGAGGCTGAAGTGCTAGGTCAGTCAGTCAGTGAAGCAAGTGCCTTGCAAGCATGAGAACCTGAGTTTGGATCCCCAGAAACCATGGAAAAAGCAGGCTGCAATGGGCACACCTATAATCCTAGCAATGACGACACGGAAGGTGGAGACAAGCAGACTCATGAAAGTTCACACACCCACTAGCATGACCTACAGTGGTGAAGCCACAGCCCATGAGCGACCCTTCCTCAAACAAAAGGTAGAAGCCTCTGGGGACAGACAGCTGAGTTTGTCCTTTGGGTGCCACAGGTGCAACTCCCCCCCCCCACAAACTCACAATAAATACATAAATTAATGAACCTATTAAATAGAAAGGGGACAGGGTTAGGTTCAATGGTCGGAGCAACCTACCCTTCGTTCTTTTTTTAAGAAAATAATAGTATAATACATAAGAAAATAAAATTTTAATAAAATACCATAACCACTTAAAGAGTACGGTCCAGCAATTCCCAGTATACCCACACTATTGTGCTATCTCCAGAACTTTCATACCCTGTGACACTAAAATTATGCTCTTGACAAGCAGTGGCTCTCTCTGTCCTGCATTCTTTACCAAACAATCCAAACACAGCTCTCTCTTCTCACACTAGCCTCTATTCAAAATTTTGCCACAATCAATGACTTAGCCATTTGGGAACCTCATTCTACAAACAGCCTCTGGAAGTCTAGCTCCTCAGTGATCTTAATCTCCTTCATGATGCTAGGACTCCCCCAAAGCAGCCTTCGTTAGTAACTGACCTAGCCTGTGTTGTACCCACATGGGGCTGAAGTGGTACCTAAACTAGCAAGTGAAGAGTAAACAGATCTATAAAATGCTTCTCTCCTTTAGCCTGAGACCCCAGACTCCTGCTTCTTGTGAATTCCTCAAATACAACACCTCAAAACAACTATGATACACTTTATCCTTGAGTTCTGAAAATAAACAACCTTTCCAACAGCCCACTTCCATGGAAAAATACCTGTGTGAAGCCCTAATAGCATGCCTTCTCCCTAATTATGGGATGGTAAGAGGATGAAGTGATGGGAAAGTCTGGGTCGACAAGGAGTCTTCCCTCATTTTTCCAGTGCTTAACATAACTACTTCAGCAACAAGTTTGTTAAGAAACTGGAGGTGTGGCACACACCTTTCATCCCAGCTCTTGGGAGGCAGGTGGATCTCTGCGAGTTTGAGGCCAGCCTGGTCTACAGAGTGAGTTCCAGGACAGCCTCCAAAGCTACAGAGAAACCCTGTCTTGAAAAAAAAAAAAAAGAAAGAAAAGAAAGAAAGAAAAAACAGAAAGGAAGAAAGAAAAAAGAAACTGGAGGTGATAAGCATAAAACTTACAGAAACCCGTAATTTCATCACTGGTGCCCTTTAAAAATACTGATAATAAATACAAACTCAAAGAATTTCAGGGCCACAAAGCATCTTAGTTAGGAGCCATGTACTTCTCTAGGCATCAAGATCATTCTATGAGATTTCTCTATTTCTAGGTTGAAAGAAAAATCAGAAGAACCTAGCACCATCAAAATGATTTGAGACTAAGCAAAAAAAAAAAAAAAAAAAGAGGGCCAGGGCAGATAGAATCACAAAAGGTATTCTGTTTAGAAATGAGGGCAGAACATCAGTGATTGCCTTCTGACTACTGCCTGGCTATAGCACCTCCATCAATTCATGTGGCATCTAGGGTTTCCTGTTTATGAAATGGTGACCCAAACTCTTGACTTGCCTGCCTTACAGCACTGTTTGGAAAAGCTGACAGGTGCTTGTAGGGAGGCATAGTCTGAGGAGGAGCAACAAGGCAGTAAGTTGGTTACTTCCTATGCCACCAACCATACTGATGGACTTCTGAAAGGCCAATGCTTCACTGACCTTCTGATGGACAGGGTGGGGACATTTGGTTTTGCTAAAACTACAAAATCTGCAGGTGTTACTACCACAAGAAAAGCATCTCTATACCATTTCTCACATTTGATCTCCACAAGTTCCTGGATGTCTACCTCTATCTCACCTTTGCTCTTCCCAACATATGCACAAATCAGTTTTACTTGAACAAACTAAACAAGAAATAACTTTCCCTCAGGCTTGCTCTGTGTCCTATCAGCTAGCCTGCATATGGGATGTCCCCAAAGACACATGTGTTAAGTGTTAAAGGGGTTGTCTGGGGATGGTAGAGTCTCGAAGATCTTTAGGTGATGGACAGATGCCCTTGAAGGGGACTGTGGTGCCCTGGCTTCTTCCTGTCTCCTTCCCTGGCCATGATGTAAGTGCAGTATTGCCCTGCCATGCATCTCCCCCTCCCATGATCACAGAGCCAAAAGCAGCCCATCTTGTGGCCACTGCTCAGTCTCACACCCCCCCCCCCTTCTCCCGTGGCTCTCACTAGAGCTCCCACTCTCTCAGCAACCCTTCCCTCTTTCCCAAAGGGCCCTCTGTCCATCTCACCTCTCCCTCCAGACACTCCCTTTTTTTTTAAAATTATGCTGTCTCCCAGAAATAACATTTGTTGTCAGTTAAGATTCCTGGACCACAGCCTCAGTCAAGCTGCGGCATTATTTGCCACTGCTTTCAGCTACTTTATTACTATGGCCTTTAAATAGGGCTTTATAAATGTTGACTTAGTTGTTACCTAGGAAACAGAAGAGTTAGAGCATAACTATGAGAAGGGAATATTTCTTTCTAGGAAAAACCCCTATATATTTCCATGAGCAGAAACATTTGGAATTTGAAAAATGATTTTTAAGCTTCTTACAAGTTGTTTCTAACTTCATCTCCATCCCTCAACCCTGCCATACTGACAATTTACCAAATTCATGAGTATAATGAACACACTTGTACATATCTAATTCCAAATGTGAAATCTAAACTAAAGACCTGACATTAAACTTAAAAGCTCCACAAATATATAAGAACAGAAAACCATAAATAAATAAATAAGCAAACAAACAAATTATTTAACCCCAGCACTCAGAAGGCAGAGGCAGAAGAAACTCTGTGAGTTCAAGACAGCCAGGGCTACATAGAGAAATCCTGTCTCAAACAATCAAAAAAGACAAAAAAAGAAAGTACTTTCTCACTGGCATTAAGACAAAACAAAAATACTTGAAATTCACAAAGTAACAAATTAGGGCTAAGGAAATGGCTCCGTGGATAAAGGAGTCAGCATGAGTTCATATCCCCAGAACCCATGTAAAACCGGATGCAATGACTCATCAGTCCAGCATTGCTGTGGTGATACAGCAAGTGGACACAGGCAAATCCCTCATAGCCTGTGACCAGCTAGGCTGGAGTAAGCAGCTAAGCAGCTGACAAGACATCCTGTGTGATTGACACATAAGCTTGTCCTCTGACCTCAACACACATATCATAGTACACTAGCACACACACACACACACACACACACACACACACATACAAACATGCACACAAACATATGTGCACGCTCATACTGGGGGGAAAAAACACCAACTTACATGTTCAGGAACCTGTCAATTCTAGAATAAATTAGAAAGGACAATAATTGACAATTAAATTTGATATTGTAAAAATACCTATTAGGAATGGAAATTATAATTCGATGCTGGAGAAATGGTTCAGCAGTTAAGAGCACTGACTGCTCTTCCAGAGAACCTGGGTTCAATTCCCAGCACCCACATGGCAGCTCACAGCTGTCTATAAACTTCAAGATCTGACACTTTCACACAGACATACAAGCAGGCAAAACACCAACATAAATAAAATAATAATAAATTATCATTTAAAAAGAACAAAGTATAATGATATGTAAGTTTAAAAAGCAGATTACAGAACAATGTAACATGATCCCAATTTAAACAATTTAGTAAATCTAGGACTATAAATTCTGGTATTACATCTCCTTCTCTTTGTGCTTTCTGTGGCTCCTGAGTTTCTACAGTGGCTATATTTTTTACAATACATTTTAAGCTAAGGTCATGAGAAAATAAAAGGAAGAAAAGTAAGAGTAACACATTAGTTTTAAAATCTATTATGGGCCAGGTATGGAAGCCTATGCCTGCAAACCCAGAATGCCATGCAGAAGGATCAGGAATTCAATGTCTTCTTCAGCTACAAAGCAACAAACACACACACACACACACAAAGCAAACCACTGTGGGATATTTTGATAGAATTCTGACATTCCTAAGACTGCCAATAAAGTTCACTTTGAATCAGAGGGTGGAGCTAGTTACTAGTTGACCAAAATTAGTGATAGAGGTTTTGGAGGACCAAGGACATAAAGAAAGATGCAGGAAGTAGTAGGGTGGGGCTTAGAAAGATTCCCCACCCACCCCACCCACCCCACCCCCTTTTTGTTAGATTGAAGAAGGAGAGAGGAGCTCACTGGTCCCTTCTCCACAGCTTCTCTGCTCATTCAGGTTCTTACCCCAATATCTGACTCCCGAGGTTTTTATTGATAAAGAATAATTTGATAAGCATTTCAACAAACAAAACCAAACTTTAAAGTTTAAAGATAAACCATTAAAGATACCTGCTGCTGAGTCTGAGGAGCTGAGTTTGATTTCCGGGACCACACAATGAAAGATGAGAACTAACTCCTGCAAGTTGTCCGCTACTCTATATACTTGTATTGTGGTACTCACTCTCACACACATGCACATACACAAAACAATGCTTTTTTTTTTTTAAAGAAACAAGAAGCTTTGGCCCCCAAGTTTTATTTAGTTTTGCTCTGACTATAGTTCCTTTGCATGCATCTTCTTTTCTAACTTGCAAAATGGACACTATAATGGCCTAGGCCCACCCCCACCTCACTGGTGTACTACAGTCCCCTAAGAGTCCCCAACAGTCCTCTGACCTGCCCACAGCAGATGCTCCAAGTGGTCTGGATGCCCGTTTGGTGTCACAGGGTACAAAGGGAAAGCTGCTTGTTGCCATTTCCGAGGGAGATCTGTTGATTAAAAAGCAGTGAGTTTTTAAGTTCTTTGTTCTGTGAGAAGGGACTGCACAAACATGAGAACATAGTGCACACCAATACACACCTGTCAATCATTTTCTAGAACTCACCTCTACTTCAATTTACTTCTATATCATGTTAAACATTCCTGAAAATAAACTACTGGGAGCTGGGTGGTGGTGGTGCAGGCCTTTAATCCCAGCACTCGAGAGGCAAGGGGGGCAGATCTTGTGAGTTCAAGACCAGCCTGGTCTACAAATCAACTTCCAGGACATCCAAGGAAGGCTACACAAAGAAACACTGCCTCAAAAAGAAAGGAAGGATGGGAGGGAGGAAAGGAAAGGAGAGAGGGAGAGAGGGAGGGAGGAAAGAAAGAAGGAAGGAAGGAAGGAAGGAAGGAAGGAAGGAAGGAAAGAAAAAAAGACCACTGGGAGATTGACTTTCCTTATATTTTAACATGAAAATAAATAGACTGAAAGCATCCACAACCTGTTATCTTTTGCATATTTTTCTTTTTCTTTAATTCTCTCCCTCTCTCCCCCAACTTTTTTTTTTTTTTAGGAAGGGGACAAGGATGGGTGGGCAGGGGCTGTCAACATAGTCCCTGCTGGCCAGAACTCAGCATGTAGATCAGGGTGGTCTCAAATTTCCAGCATTCCCCCCAACTATCTGTCAAATGCTGGGATCATGAATGCTTTATCCAGATCATTCACACATAGTCTTCCAGGTTTTTTGTTTTGTTTTTTTGGTGGTTTTTTTTTTTTTTTTTTTTTTTTTTTTTTTGGCTTTGTTTTTATTTAGGATCTGTCTCCACACTCAGGTGGCCAGGCTAGCCTCAGCCTCCCAACTACTGAGATTACAAATAATGAGCCACCATGCCTAACTCAGACTTTTTTCTCCAAGTAAAGCTATATATTATATATATTTCATTAAAGTATTTATTATATTCATAAAGCAGAGCTCTGAGACAGCAGCTACCCATCTTTTCAGGATGTTGGTTTTATTGTTATTGTTGTTTAATGCATATGAGTATTCTACCTGCATTTATGTCTCTGTACCACATGAGAGCCTAGTGACCCAGAAAGCCAGAAATGGGTGTCATATCCCCAGAGACTGGAGTTACTGATAGTTATGAGCTGTCGTGGGGGTGCTGGGAATTCCAATTCAGGTCCCCTCAAAGAACAGCCATTTCTCTTAACCAGTAAGCCGGCACTGTTTTTGTTGTTGTTTTTGTTTTGTTTTGTCTTGTCTTTAAAGACAAATGTTTGCTCTATAGCCAGACTGGCCATGAACACAACCCTTGCCTCATGAGTGTCAGGATAACATGTATGTGCTCCCATGCCTGGCCCTGAATGCCAGGTCTTCAATAAAACCAACTTCCTTCCCACCAGCATATTTCCTAAGTGTTAGCTTAGGTGAGTGGCCAAACCTGAGTCTGCTAATAAAAGTTTAAATTCCATCTCTTCACCTTTTAAGCTTTTACACACTAAATTCCCAGAAATTCTGTTTCAAATTTTACATTAATATCACAACCAGCCCATCATGCCACAAACTGTGCTTTTAATCACCAGCATTTGCTCAGGATCAGTTGTTTTTCTTGGGGGGAGGGTGTTTATTCTATAACACATTTCAATTGCAAATGTCAATGGTAAGGCGTCTGTTTCTAACTGACTCCCCTTTTCCATGAGCTCCTCCAGGGAACTGATCATAATATGCCACCAAAGGGGTGTGTCATCTTTTCTGGCAGAAGCCAAAAAAAACTTCAATCTTAAAACCAGCAGACATGATTCTACCTACAGTTCCTTGACATCTCTGTTCCAGCTCTACTCCTGCAGTTTTTCCTACTGCTCTATAGACAAATTACTTGGCAGAGTAATGAGGATATATCGCCTTCTCAGGAGGATGCCAGTCATGTGGCAAGAGGGACCACTGGAGAATCAGAAAAGAAAGCAGTCTGTGGGTGCTGACAGTGCGGAATCCTGCCTCCCTCAGGCAGGGTGGTCTTTGTCACATCCATTTCGGCATGACCTTTCCCAACCAACACTCTCATCAAACAAGCAAACAGGCTCGGTGGTGGTAGCGCACACCTTTAGTCCCATGGCTTGGAGCCAGAAGCAGGTGGTCTACAGAATGAGTTGCAGGACTGCCAGGGCCACACAGAGAAACCCTGTCTCAAAACACCAGTCAATCAGTCAGTAATAAAGGAAACAAGCAAATGAACAGCATTTGTCCCTGCCGACAATTAGGACTCTAGGTAGCACAAAGCTTATAAAACCACAGCTTGTGCTGAGAGGTGGTGACACTTGCCTTTAATCCCAGCACTTGGGAGACAGAGGCAGGCAGATCTCTGTGAGTTCAAGGCCAGCCTGGTCTACAAAGTTCCACAAAGAAACCGTCTCAAAAAACTAAAAACAAAAACAAACAAACAAACAAAAAAAAAACACAGCTTGCTCCTGAGTCAGACAGGACACAGAACCAAGCATGCCATGCTGGCCTTTTGCCTGCATCACTTAGAATTTTCACACACCTAACTCATTTGGTATAAACTGCTGTCTATTCTTCATCAGAACCTTTTTTCTCCAAAAAAAAAAAAAAAAAAGAAGAAGAAGAAGAAGAAAGAAAAAAAAAAAAAAAAGAAAGGGAGAAAAAAAAAAATAGAAATGTTCCAGACGTATGTAGAGAAAATAGCACAGTACATTACCTTACACCTGGAATATGGTTTTGAGTACAATGTGAACTAAACTTAACCCACACCCCCCCCCCAAATTCCTCCCTTCCTTCTAAGAGAAGCAATCAATAACCCGTCCTCCAGCCATTTGTTAGCTCAGAAAAGACAAAAGGAAGACTGAAGTCCTCTCGGGATCCTCAGCTCTGGCAGGAATATCCACTCTCTAGAGACTGGCTTGCCTTTGCTAGGCTGGGCACTTACACTAACAGCTATATTCTAGAAAATGGGGCATTCGTGCTCGAGAGATGGTTTGGCAGTTAACCTGTTGCTCTTGGAGAAAACCAGGTTTGAGTCTCAGCACCCATATGATGGCTTACAATCATCGATAGCTCCAGACCCCCGGGGACCCAATGCCCTCTTCTGACCCCTGGAGATACCAAGATTACATAGGGCACACACATGGTACATATACATACACACAGGCAAAACATTCACATATAAAATAAATACATCTTTAAAAAAAAAAAACTTTGACATTAACTTGTAGCTATTTCACTCCAATAGATACACAAATAATTTATGTCTGAAATGTTCAGGATTTATCACCTGACCGGTGATTTAAAAAAAAAAAAACAGTTTTGTATTTCATAAATCTTATCAACATTTTTTTCTTCGTTCCCCAAGTGCTTTAGGGAGCGTTCTATCATCTCTATGCTCTTCCTGTTGCTCAGCAAGCCTGAGGCATGTGTTGATGCTACAGTTATTACTGTTGACAATGGTGCACTATGATGCAACCCCTAAGAGAAGGCAAGTTCCTCTGTGTGTCACCTGGTTCTGGACACTTTCACTCCACATATCCATTCACACCTCAGCGTTCTGGTAAGTGGAGGCCAATAGTTGCTGCATCATTAACTGGTATTTGGGAATCTTTTTATTATATTGTTATAAATATAAAGTTATAAAGTTATATACAAAGTCTTGCTAGATTTTTTTTTTTTTTACTCAGAATTCATTCACACACTTACCATTACCTCAGCTTTCTGGTAAGTAGAGGCCAATAGTTGTTGCATCATTAACTGATATTTGGGAATCTTTTTATTATATTGTTATAAATATAAAGTTATATACAAAGTCTTGCTGGATTTTTTTTTTTACTCAGACTTCATTATATTATTACAAATGCCCTTTATAATATTGCATTTTATGCAAAAAAAAAAGTACTGCATTTTTACGTCTATATATACATTGCTATGGCTTGAGTCTGCCCTGCCATCTCCAAAGTCCACTGTGAGTAAATACTTGCTCCCAAGTAGGAGGTGGTAGACCTTTGGGAGCTAGGATCTAGTGGGAGAGCCTTAGATCACTAAGGGTGTGGTCAGAGAACTCAACCCCTTAAGCAGTGTTAAAAAAGGAAAAAACCTGGTGTGTCCATCCTCTTTTTCTACTCCTGTTCAGGATGTGACTATGTTTCCTATACAAGCTATTACCAAGAGCAACCAAAGAACCATCAAACAGCAACACTAAGTCTTTATATTGTTCCATTTTAAAATGTATACCACCACGATTAGCACAATTTTTCTAAGATTTATTTATTATGTATACAGTTTTCTGCCTGTGTGTATGCCTGAACTGCATGCCAGAGAAGGGCACCAGAATGCATTACAGATGGTTGTGAGCCACCATGTGGTTGCTGGGAATTGAACTCAGAACCTCTCGAAGAGCAGCCAGTGCTCTTAACCTCGGAGCCATCTCTCCAGTCCCACAACTTTCACATGTTACCTAAATGCTTCTTAGTCTACACTTACTCTAAATACCACTATACCTATGTTTGAAAGTGTGTTTTCAAATAGTGACAAAAACACTCTTATTTGATTGACAGTGACTAAAAAAGGTCACATAGTATATTTCAATTACAGGTATTAATATATAAGGAAATATGCCTTTATTTTGCATTGTTTTGGACATTCCAGTTTTTAAAAATGTTTTAAACAAATTTTTGAGGTATAATTCCCAGAGGTTTCCAACTAACACCACAATCTAAATTACAACATCCCGTCATCCAAAAGTGCCACCCTACTGACTGTCCCTCCCCATCCCTCATGACCTATAATTCTAAGCAAACACTAATCTTTTTGCATCTGTAGATTTTATTTTTCTGGGCAACAATCAATTATCATATATGTTGGGGGGTTTTTTCTCTTTCCATGTTTCCAATATTCATTCACGCTATATGGAACAGGTAACAATACTCCATCCTATCTAATACTAAGTAATATGCCATAGCTGAGATAAGCCAAATTTGGTTAGCATTTCATTTGTCTATTAT